GCTGTGTTCATGTTGATCCCACGCCCAAGAAGAAAAAGTTACTCGGCTGCTAAATCCTAACCTGGCTGCATCTGCTTAGAGCAGTGACTGTGAGTCTTTCAGAGTAACTCATTGGCTTTGCACATTTTAAAACATATTGTGCTTTAGTGTTGCATGTCCTATTGGATGTGGAGTATTAAAGCTGTAAGCTGTGTACTGATGGTAACTCTTTTTTAACAGAATAGTCTGATTACATTTCTAACGGACTCATGCTGCAATTTCACCATTTCATTGTTGTTATAGGATTGTGTCTGGTCTAGAGAGTGGAGGTGGGACTGGAGCTATGCAGACTCTGAAAGAAGATGCTAACAGCTCAATGCAGCTAACAAGCTCAAAGGCAACTTGCAGAGCAGAAATATAAATGGAGCTGGCCTAGATAGCCTCCTCCACCAAGCGACAGGAAATAGATGGTGTTGCCCCCCATTGGTAAAGGTGGGATGCCACTGAGTGGCAAGGAGTTCTGCAAGATAACTACTTGCTGTGTAAGAAGTACTTCCTCGTTTGCTCTAAGCCTGCCTTCTTATAATTAAAACAAACAAACAAACAAAACTTCCACTCTGTCCTCTGTGGACAGTTTCCAGACTTTCAGTGCATTTTTGAATTGTTTAGAATTTTTCAGGCTTTTTGTCTTGGGGTTTTAGACCCTTCAGCAGTCGCATTTCCCAGACCCACTCTAACAATAAAGGCTAGAAACCCTCCTTTTGTTTTTCTAATGAAAGCTGAGATTCTCGTGTAATTAGAGCCTCTGTTCCCAAAGTCCTCTAATTGGAAACAACAAATATTATGAGACTCGTCACAAAGGCGAGCAGTGCCATTTTAATAGAGCTCTCTGCTGGGAGGCTGAGATTCCTTAGTGAATTTCCTTTTTCTGGCCCATTAGTTTGAGTGTATTTAATTACACATTTGGCGGAGACAGGCTTAGGAAAGCAACTTTGTTCAGTTCATAGTTCATTTGCAGGAGTGTTGTTCCTTCTCTTCTTTGCAAAATAATCTGCAAACACATGCACAAAAAGTCTTATAATCACATCTGTAGATTATGGCTCTTCTGGGCAGCTGCCATGACAACCAACTATATATGTGGCTGGTCAAGGCCTCTCCTTTTGTCTTGAGCCTTGAAGCTGCGTTCGCTTGCGCACTATTTACGTTGTAATGTGTCTCGGTGCACAGTTCCAGCTGTTGCAACTTAAACGCAAGACTGTTGCTATGGTGATGGTGCACTTGATAGAAGTAGGTCATGCTAGTGCCATTTCCAGCGTGCGTTGATAAAAGCATAGTTTGGGAGCAGTTCGGGTGACGATAGGAAGCGTAGCCATCTAAGCACCTTCCCTTGCATTTGGAGAGGGAAGAGGTGGGCACTGTAAATATAGTGAACGGGGCTAGGGTCATAGTTGCAGCCACTTGAAATTCTCCTTCCCTTACAGGAAGGGAGTTATTTGTGTATGACGGGATCTCTCCACTCAATGGGGTTGAGTCTGCCAGGCAGGAAATCTTCTGCAGATGAAATGGGAAGTTCCAGGACTTCATAAAATCACTGCTCTATCGTACTTTGTAGTTCAACGAAGGACATGAAGCTGGCATCAAAATGAAATTAAGCTATAGGTTTCACAGAGTCTTAGGGCGGTGATTCACCGAAGGTAGGGCCAACTGGGATTTAGGCCGCAGCCAGAATTTGAGTCACTGGGCAAATAAGACTGCAAACCGGTTTAGAGAACCACGTCCCGAGGAATGATTGCTCTGTTGCTCATTAGTGTCTAAAGGAGGTTACCAAAATAAACTCCGCTGGAAGCTAAAACTGGGGGGCAAAGGTGAGTTTTCAAAAACACGCTCTTACAAAGCCTAAGACCAATAGGAATGTTTTCACGATTGATTAAATAAACTCCAAATAAATGGCTGGCTTTTCAGACCAACCTTCCCTTACTAGCAATGCAGTACTGAGTCAGACGGTGAAACTAACCTCACGGATTTATATTTCTTACCTGTATACTGCCAAAGGAGTGCCTTACTCGGGTGATGCCGGCACTAAGGGCTAGTGTGGGTCCCTTGTTTTTGCTGTGAAACCTTGATTGAGGTGTTGCACCATCAGTCTCACAGGACTGTCGGAGTTTGGGTATTTGCAGTCTGTCCTGGAAAAGCAAATTGGATTCTTCTTATTTTAAGCTGAGGGGTGGTGCTAACGTACTAATTAGGTGAAAAACTTGCAGGACAGAATTAGTTGTTAACCATATTATGAAGAGTGCTCTTTTCCTGGCCATGCCGTTCCCAAGCAAAGTGTTTCATAGCCTGTACTCTGTCTACTTAACTTCTGCCCGGATATTCATCCAACATGTTTAGCTGATTAGACGGAGGAAAGGCCTCCTTTGAGCCCCACTCGCTCTTAATTGCTTTCTGCCCCTCAAACCCACATCTCTATTTACAGTAACTATTGTGATGTTTTCAGAGCAGCTATCCACTTAGCCAGTTTGAGTAAATATTTCAGTAAGTCATACTTCTGCATTTCTTTTTTCTAAAAGCAGATCTGTGGGCCATACCATGAAGAATTGATCAAAAATAGTTCATGCCCCTATTTAAAACTCCCTTCCTAGACTTGTATTCATCTGCAGTCTACTTTTACGAACTGGATCAATCCCTGGGTCTGTGGAATGCGTGTTTAGATCTGAAAGATGAGTACGCTCCACAACATGACAGCAATTAAGCTGCCGAGTGGCAAGGAAAAAGGCTGGCTGTTTTGAATGATGAGGTTGTAATATCTCTCGTTCTAATCAGCCTTTGCTAATTGGATTTTTAGAGCAATTAAAAATGTTAAAACTTTCTGAGAAGCTTGAAATGACTCACTTTTACTGTTTGTTTTAACATTGGTGGTTTATTGATGTTAATTGATTGTCTTGGTCATTTATTGGGGAGTAATCTGAGGTGGTCCAGTTTGAGTGTTATCCTGGCTGCTGTTATCTAGCCATTATGAATGAACACCAGTCCAGGAAGGGAGATATATTTTTTTTTAAACAGGGGTGTGAACTATTTCACTTGCTTAACTCTTTACAGCATGGCCTATAGACTGACTTTCCTTCTTTTGTCTTTTTAAAAAGACTAGCATTGTTAAAAGTATTACTGAAACATTTACTCAAGTGGGCAGTCTGGCCCAGACAGAAGCAGTGCTCTCATATGGGGGAAACTTTTTTCATTTAAAAGATGCCATTCACCCTGAAGGCAGCTGGTTTTCTTCATAGAAAAGTGCAATCAGTGATTCCACAAACAAACTCATTTGAGTGAACAAGGATGAGTCTACAATGACCCTAGTAGCTTAGCTTAACATGCCCTGAGCAGCAAAGTGGGTGAAATTTTTCCCACGAGGGGTAAGGACGCAAGCCTGTATCAGTGAGGTCGCTCTGATTAAAATATAAAGCAACAAATCTTTCCAAAGCAGTAGCCTGTTTTACTGCTTCCGTTTGTTGGTGTTGGCAGCTAATTCCCCTACTAAAATTTCTATTTTAGTTATTCTGAGGAGCGTAGGTGTAACCAGAGAGTGGATGCGGCTGGTATATATCATTGTCAATTGCTGAACCCCACAGCAGCAAGTGGTATAACGGGCTATGCTTCCTGTAGGAAACTGCTGCCGTCTTTCAGCTCCAAACTGGATCTGACCATTAGCCCAGTGTCCCGTCTCTGGGAGAGACCAGGAGCAGATAGGAAGGAGCCCCAAGATGGGCTGTATTGAGAAGAATCCTGATACGAGGTACCAGAAGGGTGACTGAGGCTCAGGGCAGTGAAGTGTCTTGTGTCCTAGCCCTGTCTATTGAGACATGCTGCCCCTCCTACCTTACCCTGGCCTGACCAGTTGGTGGCATGCTGACGTGCTAAATCTATTGAAGGTCAGCTTATTTTCATTTTGCTTACTGTAGTAAGTTGTGGATTCTTATTTGTCTCGATATCCTCTTTAAAATCCTGTGTCATTAGGCAGTCTCATGGCAGTGCTCCTGCAGTATTTGTCTTCTGAGAACAGGCAATTTTCTCTTTTTGAATGCTGGTTCTTTCCAGACAGCTGTCATGCCCTGGTTCACATACAGCCAGTCTTTTAAAGAAAGCCTCTTGAAGTGGGAGAAATTGCAGAAATTGTTAACGTGTGCGCGCACACCCTATCCCCAACAGTTGCAAAAACAACTTTTTGGGAGGCTTCTTGGTCTTGTTTTGTTTTTTGAGAGAGGTCTCATGCAACCCTGCAGAGATCAATGATGTATTTGGCAGGGTAACGACATGCTTATAAACAAGTCGGAGGGAAACTGAGACTGTTGTATGGCTTCTCTGTCTCTGCCTCCTGGAAGCTAGTAGCAAAACCTTCAGCCTTGCTCTAGTGCGTTTTTAAAAAAAGAAAAGAATAGGAAGATGCACATCTTGACCTTAAGTCATTGGGGTTTTGTTTAATTGTCTTAAAACTACTGTTTCCAGAGCTGTGAAGAGCTGACGGGTTTAAGAGGCTTTGTTCTTGCTTTTGTGGTGTTTGTTGGGGTTTTTTATTGGACATTTTTAATCTGCCCTGTAGAAACTGGACTAAGTTAGTAAGCAGCTTAAGAATCAGCCTTGCCTGTATTAACCACTGAGCAAGGATTCTTAGAAAGTTCACTTAAAACTGTGATATTCCCCCATACCATTTCTTTTCTTGCCCCTCCCCACCCCAAAAAATAAAGGTTGCTGAAGTAATCAATAAGGCAATCTGGGCAAGCTTCACAATAGGCTTCAGGTCTCAACAATTGCAGCTGGCTTTTATGTGGCCAGTAACACTAGAGGCTAAGCGTACTACATCCCTTGGTTGGTTGGAGTTGATCTTTGTCTGTCTCAGACTTTTGAGCTGTAACTTAAAAATGAGGTGAGGTTTCTTCTTTGTCATGTGGGTGTTTCCCAGAATAGCTTCTGATTGGGAACTTAGAAAGCCTTCAATTTTTTTTTTCTTCTACTTGGCCTGTTTTCAGGTTGCAGCTGCTCCCTGGTGGATGCCTGTTAAAGGAGCTAATTGGAGGCACCCAGAAGGTCCTGATTCTAATATCTCGAACAGGTGAGCCACAGGTGGCCATTCAGTTTTAACTTCTAAATTTCTGCACAAACGTGGCACGGGGGCGGGAAAGGTTATGAGGTTGTAGCTGGGCCTAGTTGCTTGCTACTCTTCTCTTCTTGCTTCCTGTTTTGGCCTTGTATGATTCTTTTTTGCACGTCAAATAGATGCAGTTGGGTATGTTTAAGCACGTGGCCTAAGTATTAGTCCTTGGCATCACAAATGTGCTAGGCACTGTGACTTAGTGTGAGTAGGTGTGCTGGAGATGATAAATATTGATTGGTTTAAGGCCTGTGTATTTGAGAGAGCAACTTTATCCTTGTGATGGACTATGGCTGAGATCTAATGATCTTTTCTTACCTTCTTCCCCTTCGTAAAAGAGTTGCCTGGAGTGCATCTTCCTGGATTGGGAATGCAGAGGGTGTTGGTCTGATAGGGGGAAGTCAGTGGGATATAAGTGGCTTAAGAACCAATAAATAGAGTGAAATGGGAGCATGTTTTGCTATGAATAACCTTTAGCCAATTCTCCAGGTAGACAAATTTGAGCTACCCAGCAATGGACATTCATGTTTACATGTCTTTTTTTTTTCTTTTTTTTGGTGCCTAATGATGAAGCATTAGCATGACTGCACTGACAAATTTAGTGTGAAGTTCAAAACTGGCTTCGGGTCACTCCAAAAAAAAAGACACTTCAGCCTAGATAGGGCCGATGCTGACATATTTCTCAAGTCCCTTAAGGACAGGGCAGCGTCACTGTAACATCATACCATGGCTGATTCTCTTAGTAACAAGTCCATCTTCTACTCTCCAAGGGAGGAGAAAAGAGAACTGTTTGAGGCAAAAATAGAGAAGAGTGTGTCGAGATGGGGAGAGAGAGATTAAGGTCATGGCCAACAGCACTGGAAACCTGCTGTCTGAGCCTTGCGTACTTCGTGAGCATGGTACAAACCTGGGCTAGAACAGACAGCTGACTAACCTTTCCACTGAACTTCCTGTCACGCAGCTCAGAGGTGGAGAAACGGATAATTAATGGTGACTAGTTGAGGTGTGAACTGGTGGTGGGAAAGTGGAAGGGAAGATGCCTACAGTAACTTGTGCAATGAGCAGGTGTTTGTGTCAGAACCCTCATGTCTTAGGATGGTCCCAGAGTATCTTCTGTAATATTGTGACCAGGAAGAATGGGGACGTCCCACCTTTTTGGGACCCTAGCATGGTCTCGTTGGGACAGGAAAGACCAATAATAAGAGACCGAGCCTGAGGACAAAAGCCAAGAAACTTTTTGTAACGGCCACAGTAGAAACGAGCCAGAAGCCCCCCAAAACTTGCCTGTCAAACTGTTGCAGTCCCAGAAAAGGGGCTGGATACTAGTGCAAGGGCTGCCACTATTCTTCCCCCTCCCCTCCGTAAAGCAGGAAATATCTCTAAAAGATTTGAGGAGGCTAGAAGAACAGATGAGAGAAGTACTTCAAGGTAGTGCAGAGAATCCTCACAGAACCTGAAACTATTTTAAAAAAAATCTGCAACTGAACCCGCTGGGCAGAGCAGTTGCCTGCTCTTGCTCTGAGTTACTTAAGGTGGAGTCTAGTACAGAAACGTGTCCTAATGCTTCAGTCTTAAAGGTCTGAACCTGTGAAGATCTGAGTACCTGCATTCTTTTTTTTTTTTTTTAAAGTAAGCCAGAGGGATGGGTCACTTACTTTTTGGGACCCCCTGAATCCACGGTTCTGAGTTTAAAGGGAAAATGCAGGTGGAAGCTGGTTAAGATGCACAGTTGAACTTACCATGGTTCATATAAACTTAATTCCTTCCTACTCCAGTTCCAGTATTCGCCATTCCCCTCTGTTTTGCATTTGTTCCTCTTGTTGACTGCCTTGCTGCAGCATTTCCTTTGATAAACTTTTGTCTTTCAAATGCTAACCTGCCACCTAGTTCAATTTTATGTGGTGCACAAAGGCTATAAACATGCTATATGTGACCTGGTGTGGCCAACTCTGTTAATGGCATGGTCTCAGAACTTCATCAGTGGTTGCTCCTTAAGGAAACAATCCTCCAAGCCCAAAGGGAGGTAATCCCAACATGGATCCAAGGGAGCAGGAGGGCACAAGCCCCCATGGCTCACCAAAAGCATCCAGGAATGTCTCCTAGCTAAAAAGGAGGCGCACACCCAATGGCAGGGGGGGCCATGACCAGGGAGGACTACACTGGGGCTGCAGGGGGGCAGTCAGGAAGGCCAAGGCATAGATGGGACTGGGACTAGCTTCCCGGATCAAGGACAACAAGAAGTCCTTTTTTAAATACATAGGGGGCAAAAAGAAGGTACCAGGTAACATGGGGCCCCTACAAGACACCTTAGGAAATTTGGTCATCACACCAGATGACAAAGCTAACCTATTTAATGACTTTGCCTCCATTTTCCTGAGCAGGGACCGGATCAGACCCCCTCAGGCCCCAGGGGAGGCACACCTAGGCCAAGGGTCAGTGAGGATCTAGTCAAGAAACTTCTGGAGGGACTGGACGTATTCAAGTCAGCTGGTCCGGACGATCTCCACCCCAG